CGCACGCACGCACGCACGCACACACGCACAGACACACACAGACACACACACACACACACACACACACACACGCACACACACACACACACACGCACATCACCGACACACACACACGCACATCACCGACACACACACACACACGCACATCACCGAGACACACACACACACATGCACACACACACACACACGCAAACAAACAAACAAACAACCAACCAAGCAAGCAAGCATGCAAGCAAGCAAGCAAACAAACAAACAGACAAAAAAGCAAGCAAACAAACAAACAAGCAAGCACACACACACACACGTACACAAACATGCGTGTAGACATGTTCACAGGGTTTTACAGACACGGGCCAACGTAGATGAAATTGTTTTCAGTCGTTGCCAGGACGTCCATGCCGAAAGGGTAGCGGCGGACATCAATCTGGTTGCCAATGCTTTGGTGACCCATCTGGAGGACATAGAGGCACAAAAGGATCTGGTGGCCAGCGCTCTCGTGACCCACCTGGAAGCCGTGGATGCGCGGAAGGCTGCTGAGGCCGCGCCGAGGGTGCCGGGCTCCAGGTTGAGGCACAATTGTTGGAGCTACGCCTTGTCAATCGATCTGCGAGTCCGATTTGTCAATGGCCAGTATTGTATGAATCATGAAGGTTTCTTCCCAAAGGTGCAGGTTGCTTTCTATTTTCTGAAGCGCATGTAGTAGTTGTGACTCATGTGGTTTTCTGAAGCCTCTACTATCGCCTGGTATCGCACGGCCCCGAAAAGATCAAGTCCATGAAGGGCAGAGCAAGTGCACACCTCCGAAGCCCTGCGTTCATGTCTGCGGCTTCCGGCCCCCTTTCCGTTGGGGCACTGTGAGACGGAACCACCATGCAACTTGCAGTTGTAGAAGCCCTTGCAGGGTGCTTCGGACATTGACTTGCAGGAGGCCGTGATACAAGAGCACGAGGATGCACAAGTCAACTTAGATCAAACCACTGAAATTTCACTGGTCCTGCTGTATGGCCCGCGAAGGACGCCGCCACGAAGATAGTAGCGAATGCCCTGGCTGGCCTGCTTGGCGCTTTTTCCGCACCGTGGCGACACTATACGTGTCATAACCCTGCTCTCCGGCACCGCATAGCAGTCACAGCAGTCAGTCTTCACAAGTCTTCGCACATTCTGTGGCCGCAGCGGATCCAAGGACGAATCTTCAAGGAGAGAAAGCATCCCAGAGCACGAGGTCACATGTTTGTACATGTGCCATGTCTGTGTGGAAGCTCTCGGGCAATGCCGGCCAATAGTCTAACCCGCCATGCAGCCAAACATACGAATCCCAAGAACCGGTGCAGCATTGTGTTACATGATTTTGCAGGGGTGAATTTGATGAAGTGTGGTAAAGCAAGCTTCCGTATGGCTTGCAATGTCGGATGGATTTCGAGCAAGTTAGCAGCTGTCGCTAAACGCAACACTAGGTGCATGTTTTGTAGTGGCATGTGTGTACACTTGCGCGCAAGTATATGCGATTATGTGTATTTATGTATGTATGCATGTATGTATGCATGTATGTATGTATGTATGTATGTATGTATGTGTGTGTGTGGGGTGGATGTTAACTTGTAGGTGGTGAACCTTGCAAATCTTTCACAGACTACACCGTCGGGTTCACTTTCAGTACATTCTTGTACTGTCGTCCTAGGTGGGTCGCAAGTCCATCATGTCAATACCGACGTACAAGTCATCGCTGCAGACGGTTTTTTGCAGCATGTAGCAATATGTAGCAGATCATTCTTGTCAGAGGCTCTTCCATGTTAACTGCTTTTCACTACTGCCGTCAGGCTGTGGAGAGCGATCACCCCGATGCCGCAAACGTTCAAACGGTGGCGCGAATACTGGCCGGGCTTGTCACGGCAGCAGAGTCGGACGTTGGCTCCCTGATGGGGCAGCTGGAGGCAGGAATCTGTCACGAAACTCGGTTGTTTTTCGAGCTGCCCAAACCGAAGTCACATTGTCAAGGACGCCGCGAGCGACAGCCTCCAGCATGAGGTGGGAATCGCAAAGATTTTCATGTTTGGCACAGGGTTTCGAACTGCAGACTTCCATCAGGCTGTGGAGAGCGAGCACACCGACGATGCAAATGTCGAAACAGTGGCGCGCGTACTGGCGGGGCTCGTCACGTCGGCAGAGTCGGACGTTGGCTCCCAGGAGGCCGTCATGAACTTCTGTTGTCTCCCAGTGGTCCGAGACGTCTTCTTGTCAAGGAGGCAGCAAGCGACAGCATCCAGCATGAGGCGGGGAAAACGACACTTCTGGTTCGTTTGGTTCAGAAGCTCCAACAGCAGATGTCCATGAGGCTGTGGAGAGCGAGCATACCGACGATGCAAATGTCCAAACAGTGGCATGTGTGCTGGCCGGGCTTCTCTCGGCAGCAGAGCCGGACGTTGGCTCCCTCATGGAGATGTCCTGAGCTTCTTTGTTCATCTTCCCCTCCGAGTTTTCCAAGACGTAGTCTGTTGCCTTGCCAAGGAAGGAGGGCGTGACAGCATCCAGCATGAGGTGGGGAAGCCAACATGTCTTCAAAACTGTATTTATTTGACACAGGAATGCGCAAGACCTAGGCATGCAGACTTTCATCAGGCCGTCGAGAGCGAGCACACTGACGATGCAAACGTGCAAACGGTGGCCCGCGTGTTGGCCGGTCTCGTCACAGCAGCACAGCGAGATGTTGGCCCGTTGGTGCAGGTGGAGGCAGGAAGCTGCGCTGAATTTCTGTTTTTCTGTCAAAGCTTCGCGACGAAGCTGAAGGAGGCTACGCACGACAGCCTCCAGAAGGAGGTGGGTAAAAGCCTATCCTCTCGACTCAAGTTTAGTTTGTTTCAGGTTTTGTGGCAGAACGCAAAGCAGATTTCCAGCTTTCGGATAGCTTCTCTCTAGAGGATTTGTATATCATGATGTTGCATGGGCTGTCGGGACTGTCGGGCTGTGCCAGGAGCCGGAGTGCTGAGCTGCCCACGACATAGGATGCCTATGCAATCAAACTTATAATGAACCCTGGAATCCTAGAATGTCAACACCGCAGGGTTCCACATAAGATGCCTCTCCGCGGCTTGGGCTGTCTTGTCTCTGGTTGCTGCCTTGCGGTCGGAGTGAGGAGATGGCCCAGCGAGTCAAGGGATAGAATGAGTGTTGATTAGCCAAGCCATGTCACCGACAGCTATGATGAGCAATCAAAGGTTGTCCCTCAGCTTGAGACTGTGATCAGTGTCTATGTGTTTGTGTTGCAGAGAGGCCCCGCAACCTTAACAGACCCTGTTCAAGGGTTTGTTGACAGGAAGCTGCTCAAGCTGCTGAGAGGAGAAGGTCCCGCAAAAAAAAGCAACGACTCCCGTCAGGCCACTGAGAGCGCGCGAGCCGACGTGGCGCGCGTAGTGGCCGGGCTCGTCACGGCAGCAGAGTCGGACGTTGGCTCGTTGGTGCAGGTGGAGGCTGGAAGCTGTCGTGCACTCATTGCGTGTTTATCCCCAAAATGAAGTTGCATCGTCGAGGAAGCCCCCCGCGACAGCATCCAGCATGAGGTGGGGAAGCCAACATGTCTGCAAAACTGTATGTATTTGACACAGGAATGCGCAAGACCTAGACATGCAGACTTTCATCAGGCCGTCGAGAGCGAGCACACTGACGATGCAAACGTGCAAACGGTGGCCCGCGTGTTGGCCGGTCTCGTCACAGCAGCACAGCGAGATGTTGGCCCGTTGGTGCAGGTGGAGGCAGGAAGCTGCGCTGAATTTCTGTTTTTCTGTCAAAGCTTCGCGACGAAGCTGAAGGAGGCTACGCACGACAGCCTCCAGAAGGAGGTGGGTAAAAGCCTATCCTCTCGACTCAAGTTTAGTTTGTTTCAGGTTTTGTGGCAGAACGCAAAGCAGACTTCCAGCTTTCGTATAGCTTCTCTCTAGAGGATTTGTATATCATGTTGTTGCATGGGCTGTCGGGACTGCCGGGCTGTGCCAGGAGCCGGAGTGCTGAGCTGCCCACGACATAGGATGCCTATGGTGAACCCGTGGTAGCAGCAATCAAACTTATAATGAACCCTGGAATCCTAGAATGTCAATACCGCAGGGTTCCACATAAGATGCCTCTCCGTGGCTTGGGCTGTCTTGTCTCTGGTTGCTGCCTTGCGGTCGGAGTGAGGAGATGGCCCAGCGAGTCAAGGGATAGAGTGAGTGTTGATTAGCCAAGCCATGTCACCGACAGCTATGATGAGCAATCAAAGGTCGTCCCTCAGCTTGAGACTGTGATCAGTGTCTATGTGTTTGTGTTGCAGAGAGGCCCCGCAACCTTAGCCGACCCTGTTCAAGGGTTTGTTGACGGGAAGCTGCTAAAGCTGCTGAAAGGAGAAGGTCCCGCAAAAAAAAGCAACGACTTAAGTCAGGCCACTGAGAGCGAGCGAGCCGACGTGGCGCGCGTAGTGGCCGGGCTCGTCACGGCAGCAGAGTCGGACGTTGGCTCGTTGGTGCAGGTGGAGGCTGGAAGCTGTCGTGCACTCATTGTGTGTTTATCCCAAAAATGAAGTTGCATCGTCGAGGAAGCCCCCCGCGACAGCATCCAGCATGAGGTGGGGAAGCCAACATGTCTTCAAAACTGTATTTATTTGACACAGGAATGCGCAAGACCTAGACATGCAGACTTTCATCAGGCCGTCGAGAGCGAGCACACTGACGATGCAAACGTGCAAACGGTGGCCTGCGTGTTGGCCGGGCTTGCCATGGTGGCAGAATCGAAGGCTGGCTCCCGGATGGGAGAGATTGTCGAGGGACTGCGTGTAAGGTTCTGCCGTTCTTTCTGCAGCTGTCCTCCCGAGGACGCAGGCGAGTCGTCGCGAAGGGTGTCCGAGCAGGTCAGAAGCAGGGAAGTGGGAGTAGCCCTCTGCTTTGCGAGTGTGTGAGTCGAAACCCTAAACCCGAAAGCCTGGCTATTGCACTAAAAAATCCTAAACCCTAAAAGTAGCTGCAAAGAGGGAGGGAAAAAAGTAGGTGCAAAGATCGGCAGCAAAGTATGTCATCACCCCGCCCGGATCAGGAGGAACCTGTGGAGCGCTCCGGAAACACAGAGGCCAGCTACAGCGGCTACATTCCTGCCTTCGGTGTAGCAAACCCCGACTGCCCCGACGGCTGCAGGTTTCAGCTCTGTTTTCGTAGCAATGCGATAGCTTGCAGCTGCAGCTGAGCCGTGTTTAGTTGACAGTGAGAGGGACGTAGACTGGAAGGCCAGTCAAACGACACGTCATTAATATCTTAAAGAGCGTCTTGAGTTTCGAGAGGATGTCGACGGTAGTCAACTTAGTCGTTGTCCCTCGATGGTTCCCACATCTCGTGATCTTGCATGTGTAGGTGTACTGTGAGTATAGGACACCTAACACAGGCCATGTAATAAAGTTAACACATTCCAGCTGCGAGGCTTACGGAAGATTCTCGGGAGCGGACACCACTTATGTAAACAGACCAAAACCGAATGCAAGAGTCATTGAGAGAGCTAACGCAGAAATAGGTGGACAAAAGAAGGTACAGCTTTTCCAGACATTTTCATGGATAAACGCGCGAAGCTGGCTGGACATATTCTGGGTACGCCCCAGCAAGACCCTTTACGCCAAGTCGGCTCTGATATGCACTGATGTTCCACATTGGCAAGAGGAGAGTAGGAGACCTAGGCAAAATTGGTTGTTCTACACGAACAAGTTCTTTTGGGAAACATGCACCTCCCGTCCCTTTGCTCCTTATGCCAACACAAACAGGCAAATATGAGAATGCAGTAAATCGCCGTTTTTAAAGCCGCCCATGTGCCCGCGTCTCACCATCGTGCCAAGAGAAGCAGGAGACGATGGCAATCAAAACAATCAAAAGTAGTGCGTATAGTACAGTGCCTACTCCCTCAAGCCTCAAAATCAAAACCCCGAGACGGCAAAGCTTAAAACCCCCAAACCCCTAGGCCCCAAGCCCCAAGCCACTCCGAGAGGACCTCAAGGCCTGGAGCAGCTTTGATGAGCAGAGTGCTGTCGCAGAGGTGGTGGATGCCGTGGAGGCCTGCCCCGTGCAGACACACGCATGCACACACGCACACACACACACACAGATATATATATATATATAGATAGATATAGATATAGATATAGATATAGATATAATTATAGATATAGA